CAAGGAACAAATGACTTTTAATTTCATGGCTGCACTCACCATCTACAGTGATTTTGGAGCCCCCCAAAATTAAGTCTTTCACTGTCTCCACTGTTTCCCCATCTATTTGCCATGAAGTGATGGGACTAGATGCCATGATCTTAGTTTTCTGAATGTTGAGCTTTAAGCCAATTTTTTCACTCTTTCACTTTTATCAAGAGGCTCTTTGGTTCCTCTTCACTTTCTGCCATAAGGGTGGTGTCATCTGCATATCTGAGGATGTTATTTCTCCCTGCAATCTTGAAAGAAATATTCTACTTGATCTTTTTTTTTAATTTTGGGCATGCTGCATGGCTTGTAGGATCTTAGTGCCCCTACCAAGGACTGAATCTGGGCCATGGAGGTCAAAGCACGGAATTCTAATCACCAGGTACCAGGGAACTCTCTGTACTTGATTTTATAAGGAAATAATGGGGAATAGAGTGTATCTACTTAAAAGACTACGATATTAGGAAAGTTAAGAATGCTTTAAGGCTAAATATTCTTCATACATACAGAACAACTCTCTTGGGTTCAAACATAAATGCCAGTAGAAGAAAACAGTCTGTGAATTTCATTAACATAGGGTACCTAACTGGAATGCAGTACTGCAGAAGTATTTTGAAGATTTTTCCACAGTTAGTAAAGATAAGGTTACTGCTTTTAGAAGCTGTGAGATAAAAAAATAGATTAGTTTCTGGCCCTGTTCCTGGTATAGAGGTTTCACAGCCTTCGTAATTTCCTAAGGGATAAGAGCACTAGACATATCTTTTGTTCTAATATTTGATCTTTGACCTGATTCCAGACACAGAGCTCCTAAATCCTTTGCAATTTCTTGGATGACAGCAGTGTCTTTTGTTCTAATGAGGCATCTCTTTGTGGGCCCCTAGACAGCTTCAGGATGGGAGCTGGTCACCATACAGATCAAACTCTGATTAAAAGCTTCTTGGAATTTTCAGCCCCATCATCCATCTTCCAGGAAAGGAAAGGAGTTGTAGACTGAGTTAATGACCCATTATGCCTATGTGATGAAGCCTCCATAAAAATCCCAATACATAGGATTGGGCTGGTGGATGAGTAAAGGTGCTAGGAGAGTGGTGTACTTGAGAGAGCATGGAAACTGTGCTCCTTCTCATATATCCTGTGCTACACATCTCTTCATCTGGTTGTTCATCTCTTCTATTATATCCTTAATGATAAGATAGTAAACCATTTCTCTGAATTCTGTGAGCCATTCTAGCAAATTATCAAACCCAAAGAAGGGGTCATGGGAACCCTGATTTACAGCTAATCTGTCAAAAGCAGAGATGCCAATGTGGGACTTGCAACTGGTGTTTGGAGTGGCGGCAGTCTTGTGGGACTGAGCCTGTAAGTGTGGGATCTGATGATAATTCCAGATAGACAGTGCCAGAATTAAACTAAATTGTAGGATACTCAGCTGGTGTCAGAGAAATACTTGATGGGGCAGAAAACCCACTCATCTGGTATCAGAAGTATGGTATTGGTAGTTGTGTTAAGGTGAAACACAGAAGGGTTTTTCCTATAGGGGCTTAATTCAAAACCATTAAAACAAAACAAAAACAAGGGCTTCCCTGGTGGCTCAGTAGTTAATAATCCACCTGCCAATGCAAGAGACCGGGGTTCAATCCCTGGTCTGGGAAGATCCCATATGCCGTGGAGCAACTAAGCCTACACATTACAACTACTAGAGCCCGTTCTAAAGCCCGGGAGCCACACTACTGAGTTCATTTGCCCCGACTATTGAAGCCCATGTGTCCTAGGGCCCATGCTCTGCAACAGGAGAAGCCACGACTGAGAAGCCTTTGCACTGAAACTGGAGTTTCTCTCTGCAGCTAGAGAAAAGCGTGAACAGCAACGATGACCCAGCACAGCCATAAATAAATAAATAAATAAATAGAATGAAAAAAAAAAAAAAAAAAAAACTGCAGGTTAAAGCCCAAAGTTGAAAATTTCAATCCAGCTACTGAAAAAGGTAGGAAGAGCTCCTTAATTTATAATAAGAGATGGAGTAGATGAACTAGATAATTCTTAAGATAATTTTCAGCTTTGTGACCCTATGATTCAGGAATAATTAAAAATGATATTACCTAACACGTGAAACCAACAAAATACTGTAAACAACTATACTCCAATAAAATTTTTTTTAAAAAATGATATTACCAAATTTAGTGGTTTCCAACCACAGACACTGCCAAAGAAGGGAAAGCCAAGAGTCAGGTGCCAAGGCTCCAGTCAATTCATTCTACTCTTTCCAGACCAGCTGGTATAAATTTCCTTTATCCTAGCTATGATTTTAGAAAAAAGAGGAATTGTAGTGCTTAAAAAAAAAAAGAAGTATGAAAACTATCACCCAGATAAAAAGTTGCATCACATATACAGCAATAATACGCAGATTTCTAAGTAGGTATATTTAATGAAAACTTGACTCCATTTACACTGATAATTATAAAGAATGTCAAAAGTAATTGACTGATTGACTATATAAACCATTAAGCATAATTACAGCAATATTCAGAGAGAGTATTGTCCTATGACATATTTTGCAGAAACTTTCCAGAAATTTAAAGACAGACCATGGTAAAGAGGAATTCCACTGAAATTCTATGCTTTTAGAACTAATCATAATCATTTTTAAGTATTGGAATATATAAAGTATTTACCTGGGGTCCTTACTGCATAAAAGGTTGAGTTATGCTAAAGAAGCAGGCAGTCAAAGTTGTGACACCACCCTACACTCAAGTCCTGGTTCAACCAGAACAGTTCTGTTTCCATGTTTTTAGACTTTTATTTTTTTTCAGTGCTGCCTGGCTTACAGGGTTTTAGTTTCCTAATCAGGAACGGAGCCAGGGACCCATCAGTTAAAGCACAGAGTCCTAATCTCTGGAGTACCAGGGAATTCTCACAGATTGAATATTTTTAAAAATTATGCTTGAAAAAAGAATCCTCTCAGAGTAGGGAAAGGCTCTTAACCTATGCTCAAGTTGGAGACAGTGCAGGTGTAGAGTGTGGAGGAAGGGGCCTTTACTGATGAACAAGTGTTAGAGCAGGCATCAAGTGTTAGAAGACTGGAAAACTGATGAGTCAAGGCAGGACCCTGTGCTTGCAGCTCCTCCTAGCAACAATAAATCTAAAAGCTAGTAATTTTCCTTGGAGAACGTAAAAACTGTGTAAGGGGGAGAACCATGAAGAGTCAACTCTAAAGGACAAAATCAAGTACAATAGGAAGTCTCATCTTCTAAATCAAATGACTTCAAATAAAAATGCTGGTTAAGGCAACAAAGCAAACTCATTTTGCACTGAAAAACACTAAGACATTAAAAATAGAAAATGTTTCCTAGTTAATAAGGAAAAGACAATAAAGGAAGATGAGTGGAGCAGGAAGGCACTGGGTGACAGACACTTTGCTTGTAAATGAGAAAAAAGAGATCCCATAGTATCCTTATTAACTATACAGCTAACTAAAGCTAGCTGCTCTTTTATCAAATTGTAACAAAAAACAATTTCATTATAATAGAGATTTTCTTGCAAAGAACTTTAGCACAGTATTACTATTCAAAGATATTGACATGAAAGAAAATATTATATCTTGGGACTTTGAAATACTGTTTTTAAAATATTCTGACTACTTATATAAAACAGCTGGACATCGGTTATGGTATTAAACCTAGAAAACAAAAATACTAAAGACAGAAAAAGAGATAAAGGCTACTCAGAAGGAAACAACAAACAAATGTTCCAGAAGGCTACAATGGAAGAGTTATAAATGAGGACTTAATCTAATTCTGATATTCTTTGTATCAGAAAAGAACCATCTCAAGAAAGGAGAGTTAAAGATCTGTTTTGTAGTTCTCATGAAAGCTACTGGGGCCATATATTTAACATCTCTCACAAGTATGACACTACTACCAACATTTCAATAAAATATATCAGCTACAGTATATTGAAGTGTCCAAGATTCCACTTAGGCTGGTTCAGACAGCAGGCCACTGACTAAGGGCTTAACACCTGTACTTTCAAGAAAGAAAAGTTAGCAAACGAATGAATTTGGCTTTAATTTATATTTCTACCACTGAATTAATAGGCTTGGCCTTGATCAAGATCCTTTATTGGCCACAAATGAATTAAAATTTATTTTGATTTCCACAGCAAGAACTCAAGCTCAGTTTTGTTCACATGCTATTATTTAACAGGAAAGCCCTAAGTTAACAATATGTTAAGTGTACACAAAACTTCACTCATTAACTTTCTAAATTCTTTTCTTCTTATACACGGTCAGTAGCAGATAGTACCTTTAAATATAAATTAAAACTTATAGGTTAAAAAAATATTGAAGAGAATTAAGCACAAATAATTGAATCAAAAGGAATTAAATCAAAAGGAAAGAATTTATCATTAGATACATTTTAAACATAACTCTCAATTACTTCAAATGTCTGTGACAATCTACTTGTTAAAAAGAACATCTTGCAAAAAATAATTTCAGTCCACAATACTACACTGCTAATAGTTCCTTCTTTGTTTTTGTGATTTTATATTCGTGACCAAACAAAACTAGATCTTTCCTCTTCTCAATTATTAAGTCAAATCACAAAAATTTAGGTAACATACAATGGATGGTTTCTATGAGGCTGAACCATATGATTTTGCTAATATCCAACTATTTTTGATACACAAAACAAGTAATTTTATATGGTTCAACTTAATATGAAAATTGGATGAGACTCACACCTTCCCATTTAAAATAATTTCAACTTGAAATGTCTTTAAAGGAAACCTTTATTTATAAAACTTAAGGTTATGTAACTATTAGTAAGTACAATAATTAACAAAAAACAAACATTTCCATTATGATGTATAAAATAAAGACCTTTTAAGGATAAGATGTTTAAAAAATGCTACTGTGCCTTCAGATTTAAATGATGATTAAGCATTTCAATACAAACAGAAAATTCCATACTCACATGTTTAAAGCAGGTAACTGGAGCTGCTATAAAGCTATTGCTATTGATGTAGTTACCCCAGTTGAAACCTTCTGTGGAGACTGCTGCTGAAATAAAATAAGTTTAGATATATTGGAGTTCTCAGATCTTTTATTTGTAAGAAGGTTATTACTTTATAATTGAAATGACACATATTTATCACCTCTAAATTAAGTTTTTTCCTATAAAGCAAAACTTCTGTAAATAAATATGAACTTTAGCATATATCATATTTGCAAACAAACAGTTTAACTTTTCTACACACAAGATATGCTCCTTGGGAAGTGAGGCAAGAGCTCTCCAATTATAAGAAACAAAGAATAACTGAAAGAAGATATGTTCAGGATAACAAACACTGTTCTGACTGCTCCTGTGGTTTATTCCCATGTTGCTCTAACTGCACACTTCACTGAAATTTCTATCCAGTATCTACCACCTAATACTTTCACTATCGTTCTTTACTGTCTGACTCCCTACTTACTGCCTTGCTTTTGCACTCCTGTTAAGAATCTTTCTGTTAGAAAAGATCCTTTCCTCAATCTCCTTCTCTTGTTACTCTCTTCTCCCCAATCCCTTTGAAGCTTAATAAATGTCATATTTCTTTGCCTTATCACCACAACGTTTCCCACTGTCCACAGCCAGAGAATCAATGCATAAAAAATAAACAATAAACAAAATAAAAAAGAGTATTATTAAGGAGACTGTCACAAGCACCATAACTTGTAAACACTATACTTTTCTAGGATAATTTACTGAAATGAAAGAAGCCTAGTGTCATTATGTGCAAACAGGGAACAGAAATAGCTTAGTTAACAGAATCCAAAATTAAAATGTTATTAATTAAAACTAGATGAATTAGTATCAAATATTTTACCTCTTGCAATCACCCATATTACCTGATTTAGTCTTTGCTTGATTTTGTAAGGTAGCTTGATACTGAGCATATGCAGCTAGTTTAGCAACTAAAGGTTGTTTCTGAAGAACTTTTGCTTTCTTTGTTGGAGGCTTACCCTAAAACAAGAAAAGTTAAGTAAATAGGATTCTTTATCATTCCCCACCCCCAAATGTGAAAACTGACTTGACTGCATACTACTCATTTTAAGGAAACATTGAGGGTTTAGAAAATTATTAAAGCAGAGGAAACATACAAGAAAATTCACATGAGAAATGTTTTCTGGAATTCTGCTACAATGTAGATATCTAAAATGGGTAGCACAGCTGGCAAAGACTTAAATAGCAATATGCAAATTAATATATTAATAAAAAATTATATCCCATAAAATGTTAAGCTATAGGCTGTGGTGGATAACAGATTCCATCTTGTACTAGATAAATCCAGTGGTTATTCACTCATGCAGGTTGCTAAGCATTACTATTTATATAAGAAAAAAATAATTCAATGTTTAAACAGCAAGTGACTGAGGTTTATACCTTTAGCGCTAATGCAAAAGATCAATGACAAAATGATCATGGGCCAAATTCAGTGTGACAAACTGCCATCCATTTGGGTACAGACCATTGCTCAGGATCTTTAGGGACTGTCTATCTGAAATATAGAAATACATCAAAGTGATGTATTTCCTTAATTTGGGGAACTTAAATAATCCTTTCAGTGCTATGTGCTACCTTATTACAATAAGATGAAGAAGAAGACAAATGTGATCATTCAAATAAAATATATTACAAAAATCAGCTATGTGATGCCTAGTTGTTTATATGCTACAATAGTAATAACTTAAACGATCGTTTTGCAGCCATTCCAGTCGTTTTGTAGGCATTCCAATAATTTTGTAGGCACTGATATACATTTATAGAAAGACAATTTTCTTTTAGTATTATAATTGCTTCCAAAAAGGTTAGTTGGATTAACCAAATACCCTTGGTCAAGGTAGCAAAGGGGTTGCAATGAAAAGTACAAACCAAAAATAATGGAAAAATAACACCAAAGGGTAAATCATTCCCTGCCCCCAACACTGAAATTTTCTACCTTGATACTAATTACAAAGAAAACCAGGGGGGAAAATGGCTTCAATTTATATATATATAAAGATATTTATTACATTTATACTTATTTAGAAAAAAAGACACAAACAATTCATAGTTTATTTTGGATAGTATGCCTTCTCTATTTGTAACAGCTGCTCAAATTTTATAGAATGGACAAGCTCACATATTTCTTAAAAATGTGGGGTATAAAATACTAACAGGCTAATAAGATAAAGGTGGAATATAGTGAATCACAATCAAATGACAGACAAACAGTGAAAGCCATAGAAATAACAGATGTAAGAACAAGGTTTCTGTACCGTTACCTGAAGTCTGGCCAAAATGCTTGCCTTCTTGGAGTTTGACGAGTAACTTCTTGAACATGAAACACTGCAGAAACGCTTTGTTTTAGAGTAAAAAGCATCTCGCACACCAACCATTCCACACATTTCACAGGTAGCTAATTAACAAATAAAAACACTGGTGTTATGATCATAAAACTGATTTTCATCTAACAGTTTAATAATTCCTCCAATTATCTGAAAGTTTTAATTTTTAAAACATTCCTTCAGGCAGATAGAAAATTTCTTCTGTTACTTTAGAAAAATCCAAATAAAAGGTGGGGGAAAGATTAGAATGATGCCATGGCTATAGGCTCCAGAAAAACTGACAATAAAGTCTGGAAAGGCTTTAAAAAGGATCAAAAGACACACAAATGTAAGTTAGATTCAACTAACATTTCCTTGGTGCTCACCTTGTGCCAGACATTACAAGATCTAATGTTTGAAAGGATTATAAATAAAAGATGAAAAGTAGTTGCAGTACAAGTGAAGAGTAATACAAAGCACAGCACAGGTCTTTAAAGTATTGAGAAGACTGAAACATAAGGGTAACAAAAAGTGAATCTCGAAAGATACACAAGTTGTGGGACTGCTGCATTATACAGTAGTCCTATTCTCAAATTTGTGAGGAATCACCATACTGTTTTCAATAGTGGCTGTACCAGTTTACATTACCACCAAGAGTATTTGAGTTTTCCTTTCTCCACATCCTCCTCAACATTTGGTATCTCTTGTCTTTTTGACACGAGCCATCCTAACAGGTAATGAGGTGATATCTCAATGTGGTTTTCATCTTCATTTCCCTGATGATTAGTGATGCTGAGCACCTTTTCATGTATTTATTGGCCATCTGTAGGTCTTCTTTGGAAAAAAATGTCTATTCAGGTGCTTTGCCCATTTTTTAATTACATTATTTGCTTTTTCTGCACTATTGAGTTGTACACGTTCTTCATGTATTTTGGATATTAACACCTTATCAGATATATAGTTTACAAATATTTTCTCCCATCCTGTAGGCTGTCTTTTCAATATATTATTTCCTTGGCTGAGAAGAACCTTTTTAATTTGTTGTAATCTCACTGTGTATTTTATTTTATTTATTTTTTTATTTTTTTATTTTTTTTTTCTCACTGTGTATTTTAGCTTTTATTAGCTGTGCTTCTAGTGTCTTATCCAATAAACCAATGTCAAGATGAAAGTCAAGGAGCTTTTTCCCTATGTTTTCTTCTAGGGGTTTTATTGTTTCAGGTCTCACATTTAAGGTTTTACACCATTTCAAGTTAATTTTTCTACGTGGTATAAGATAGGTCCAGCTTTTCTTCTGCATGTGGATATCTAACTTCCCAACACCATTCACTAAAAACTGTCCTTTCCCTGTCACATGTTCTTGGTGCCCTTATCAGAAATTAGTCGACTGCAGCCCAGTGTATCAGAAAGGTAGCTGACCTCCCACATTCACTGTAGCATTGTTAACAATAACCAAGTTAGAGAAACGTATTAGATGCCTTCCGATGAATGAGAGGATAAAAAAACAAGTTATACATAAATGTATATGTAAATGCATATGTATATGTAAAGTAGATACTATCCATTATAATAGAGTATTATTCAGCCATATAAAGAAGGAAATCTTGTCATTTCTGGCAAGGATAAAACTGGAGGGGATTATGCTAAGTGAAATAGGCCAAAATGAGAAAGACAAATATTGTATAGTATTGCTTACATGGAATTGAAAAAAAAAAAAAGCCTATTTCATAGAATGGTGGTTGCCAAGTGTTGAGAACAGGGAGAAATGGCGAGATGAAGGCCAAAGGGTACAAATTTTCAGTTATAAAAAGAAAAAGTTGTGATCTAATATACAGCATGGTGACTGTAGTTAATAACACTACAGTATTATACACTTGAAACTTGCTGAGTAGATCTTGTGCTCACATGACACACACAGAGAATTAACTTTTGGGGACTTCCCTGGTGGTCCAGTGGTTAAGACTCCACATTCGCAATGCAAGGAGCCTGGGTTTGATCCCTGCTAAGGGAATTAAGAGTCCGCGTGCCACAACTAAGACACAGCACAGTTGAATAAATAAAAAGTTAACTTGGTGAGGTGATGGATGTGTTAATTATCTTGATCTTGGTAATCATTCCACTAGGTACATGGATATCAAATCACATTTATACATTTAAACATATACAACTGTATTTCTCAATTATTCCTCAATAAAGTTGGGGGAAAAAAGATAACATAGCAAACAACTACTTCAATGGGTTTAAATCTCCACCTAAACAGTTACAACTGGAGGGACTTACAGTTTAACCAGTACTTATAAATTATAAGAAATCATGGAAAAGTGTAAGGTACCAGAGGATGAGAGATAAAGGGGGTCTAATGCGGAAAAAAGCCTGAATGATTTCCTGTTGTAAAAATTCTAGAACAGATTAAAAGGTTTGTGGATCACGTAGGTTAAAAAAAATGCAATCCCAAGGGGATAGTATGTCTTTGCCAAGAATTGAACATGTCAAACTAGAACTCCCATGACTAGGATGTAAGCTCCACCAGGGACTTTATTCTATATTATTCCTATCTGTATCTTTAAAACAGAATCCGGCACATATAAAGCTCCCTCTTGTGACAGATTACCACATTAGTATGTTATAACTAAGCCATGGTAAGATGTATATTAATAGGAGTTAACACATTTGATAAAATCTCTCATGTAGCTCTGTCAATTAAGGATTGAGAAATTCAAGCTAAAGTAGAAAAGATCTAGGTAGCTATTAACCGGTTGGATGACCACACCTACTGGGTCCTGATAAATGAAGTTAAGTTCTTTGATATGGTATGAATGATTGTGTACCAGGCCCTTCGATGCTTAACTTTTAATCAAAATATTAGAATATAATCTATAAGGCATAATCATCAAATCTGCAAATGACAATCAGAAGACACTGCATTCAACATTAGATGACCAAATTAGGAATATGCTTAAATGTAAACACAGTGTCCTGAAGAAAAGAGATAAAAGTTGAACAACCTCTGATCTAATCACACAAGGTAACCAACTATTTGCCTGAGGTCTTTTCCAGGATAATCCTAAAACCAGGAGGGTATCAGGCAAATCAGGACAAGTTGCCACCCTACTACCACACAATCTGAAATATCTCCAGAAGAAAGTGAGCAGGATACTGATGAATTAAAACACTGTGATGCTATGAGAAATGCTTGAAGCAACTAGGTTTACTTAGTATGCCCAAGAGAAACACTAAAAATAAATGTTTTTGTGTGAAGGGAAAAAGGACAAAAGTCAGAATAAGGATAATCTTGGTTCAATATAAAGAATATTCTGGTAATTAGAGATACATTATCACTGAAGTGTTAAAACAGAAAACTTACAAGGAATTGTTACAGAGAAGGGAGACTTACCTTGAAAGTTTCTCTCAATTCTGTAAGTCTATTATCTTACACACTTCAAATTACATAGGGATTTATTATTTAATTAAAGAATTTAAGTCTCATCAAGTTTCTCAACAGCTTTTTTTTTTCATTTTGTTCTACTTGTCAATAAAGAGATCTAACACAAACCCAGTGATCTTATCTAGAACTGTAAGTTTCAGATTCTGTTTCTTTACTGTTCTTTAAAAATTTTAAGGGAAATGATAGGAGAAATGGAATCAAAACATACCCTCAAATATAAAGGTATGATAAAGGTGAAGGCAGTTCACCTGAGCTGAAGTATACGCTGTATACTCACCCATGCCAGATTTACCATCTGGGTATGTGTACACTTGGCCATTGTTTTTGATAATGGGGAGATTAGAAGGTAAAGGAGCAACTTCCTCTTCACTCTCCTCAGAGGTGGAGCTGCTACTTGTGTCCTCACTGCAGCTGTCATAACCGTCAAACATCCCGAATGAGTCTCCTCTGTTCCCTTCGGATCGTGAAGAATGTTCAGTCTTCAAAGCAGAAGAAATCAATAACTATGATATAGCACTCATGTACACCACCCAAAAGACCTTAGTTCAAATTGTGATAAATGAGGTTTGCAAAATGAAAATCTAAATGTCTGTGTCAAAGTAGAGCCCTTCCCCATGAGGCATAAACCTATTAACTACCATGTTAGCTAAAAGGAATAATAATGATGGAACAAACACTGAATGGGAGTCAGAAGATGTAACTTAAGTTCTGCCATAAACTAGATGAGACTTCTCTACAAAAATGTGATCAGATGATTTTTTTAAACTTTAGTGAAATACTCGTAACAAATAGATGGTTTCTTAATTTGCCTTTTATCTCTAAAATTTTAAATTTTTATTTTAATTTAGAGCATCCAGGAAATAGATGCTTTTAAAAATCACTAGGAGTTTTGCAGAGATTGAAAATTTTAAATTTAGGGGAGATAATTTTTAGATATTAGCTATTTCAAAAACTATAGAAGATAGCATTTCTACATGTAACACTATTTCATTTTTTCTTTAACATAAATGGTTTGACATAACCCAATTATCTCCATCTAAACACTATGCCCTTTAAAAAAAACAAGCACAAAGATACTATGTATCACATTCAGCAAATGCTACTCATATGTTCCTTCAAAAGATATTCCCTTACTCAAGCCACCAAAAAATCCCCAAGCTAATACCTACCACCACCCCAACTGTTCCTGAAATCAATTCCAAAACTTCAAATTCAGTGATAAGAAAGTTAACAAAGCAGGAAATAACAAAGAGAAAAAAAAATGGAATATTTGAAATGAAAAAAAAAAAAAAAAACAAACCCCAAACCATCAATAAACATACATTGAGTTATAGCAGAGTGAAAATTGTCAACCAAAAAATCTTTAGAGTCTGGTACCTATCTTATTCTTTTGCCCAGTTATAAGTTTCTTGGTATCATCTTACACTTTATGCACAATTTCTTTCCTGGCTAGTTTAAAGTCTTAACGTGACCAGTAACAAAGCTGAAATTTATTTCCAAAGCTTGACAAGATAAAACCATGGAAATGCATCTCTTAGTTTTACTAAACAAACTATCATTTTCAGATATGCTAGTATTAAACAGTTTCACTGAGGAGGGGAACTGATTTTCCACTTGTATTATGTGTAAATATGAAAGCAAAGGAAGTAGTTTTTCAATCCATAAAATGGAAATATTATACACTCAAATGAATACAATCTTAAGAAGTCATCCCCTTGGGAGGCTCTACAAATGTTCTACAAATATTGCCACATTAAAAAAAAAACTATTCATCTTTCAGAACTCTCTTTTAGACCCAATTTAAAAAAGAAAAGTTGACTGTAGCCACTTTAGAATTATTCTCCTAATCTCCCACTATTGTTTTCCCTAGCCTGATTATTCAGCAGATTTGGTTCTGAAAAGTTTTTAGTTATTTCTATAAATCACATGTATCTTCAAAGAATCAAAATCTGCTACCACCAGAAGATTAAAAAAAAAAAAAAATAAGACTCTGAAGGCAATTCAAAAGGAGAAGTCTAACAATATAGGTAATACTGGTAAACTGGTAGGGAATAGGATAATCCTTGTGTGTATCAAGTGTGGGGCTAATAACACAGAATTATGACAGACCCAGGTTTGAGATTCAGCTTTGCCATTTACGAACTATGAACCTGGGCAAGTGATGAGTTTCTTTCTCTTATTCGTTCAGCATTCAGCAAGCATTTGTTTCTCAGAGAGGCTAAAGAAAGAGCAATGATTCTCGTAAAGTTTACAGCAGACGAATCCACAGTTGGGAAAGATTCAAGCAAGGCCATGTGACAATACAAGGCATGTGAAAAGGACAAGGCAAGGGTAGTCAAATGAGATTGAGGAAGGATCCTGAGCACAAAAAAGGCAGCCACTTGAATACCTTGCTTGAAAATTTAACTCAGATGACCATTACATCTACTACTGTGGTCAGGAATCCCTTAGAAGAAATGGAGTAGCCATCATTGTCAACAAGGGAGTGCAAAATGCAGTACTTGGATGCAATCTGAAAAACGACAGAATGATCTGTTGGTTTCCAAGGAAAACCATTCAATATGATGGTAATATAAGTCTACACCCCGACCAGTAACGCTGAAGAAGCTGAAGTTGCATGGTTCTATGAAGACCTACAAGACCTTTTAGAACTAACACCCCAAAAAGATGTCCTTTTCATTATAGGGGACTGGAATGCAAAAGTAGGAAGTCAAGAAACACCTGGAGTAACAGGCAAATTTGGCCTTGGGAGTACAAAATGAAGCAGGGCAAAGGCTAATAAGAGTTTTGCCAAGAGAACGCACTGGTCATAGCAAACACCCTCTTCCAACAACAAAAGACAAGACTCTACACATGGACATCACCAGATAGCCAACATCGAAATTTGACTGATTATATTCTTTGCAGCCAAAGATGGAGAAGCTCTATACAGTCAGCAAAAACAAGACCAGGAGTGGAGTGGCTCAGATCATGAACTCCTTATTGCCAAATTCAGACTTAAGTTGAAGAAAGTGGGGAAAACCACTAGTTCATTCAGGTATGACCTAAACCAAATCCCTTATGATTATACAGTAGAAGTGAGAAACAGATTTAAAGGACTAGATCTGATAGAGTGCTTGATGAACTATGGACAGAGGTGAGTGACACTGTTCAGGAGGCAGGGATTGAGACCATTCGCAAGAAAAAGAAATGCAAAAAAGCAAAATGGCTGTCTGAGGAGGCCTTACAAATAGCTGTGAAAAGAAGAAAAGTGAAAAGCAAAGGAGATAAGGAAAGATACACCCATCTGAATGCAGAGTTCCAAGGAATAGCAAGAAGAGATAAGAAAGCCTTCCTCAGTGATTAGTGCCAAGACATAAAGGAAAATAATAGAATGGGAAAGACTAGAGATCTCTTCTAGAAAATTAGAGACATCAAGGGAACATTTCATGCAAAGATGGGCTCAATAAAGAACAAAAATGGCATGGACCTAACAGAAGCAGAAGATATTAAGAAGAGGGGGCAAGAATACAGAAGAACTATACAAAAAAGATCTTCACGACCCAGATAATCAAGATTGTGTGATCAGTCACCTTGAGTCAGACATCCTGCAATGCGAAGTCAAGTGGGCCTTAGGAAGCATCACTACGAACAAAGCTAGTAGAGGTGATGGAATTCCAGTTGAGCTATTTCAAATCCTAAAAGATGATATTGTGAAAGTGCTGCACTCAACACGCAAGCAAGTTTAGAAAGCTCAGCAGTGGCCATGGGACTGGTAAAGGTCAGTTTTCATTCCAATCCCAAAGAAAGGCAATGCCAAAGAATGCTCAAACTACCACACAATTACACTCATCTCACACGCTAGCAAAGAAATGTTCAAAATTCTCCAAGCCAGACTTCAGCAATACGTGAACCGTGAACTTCCAGATGTTCAAGCTGGTTTTAGAAAAGGCAGAGGACCCAGAGATCAAATTGCCAACATCCGCTGGATCATCAAAAAAGCAAGTGAGTTCCAGAAAAACATCTATTTCTGCTTTATTGACTATGCCAAAGCCTTTGACTGGGTGGATCACAATAAACTGTGGGAAATTCTGAAAGAGATGGGAATACAAGACCACCTGACCTGCCTCTTGAGAAATCTGTATGCAGATTAAGAAGTAACAGTTAGAACTGGACATGGAACAACAGACTGGTTCCAGATAGGGAAAGGAGTACATCAAGGCTGTATATTGTCACCCTGCTTATTTAACTTATATGCAGAGTACCTCATGAGAAATGCTGGGCTGGATGAAGCACAAGCTGGAATCCAGACTGCAGTGAGAAATAAAAACCTAAGATATCCAGATGACACCACCCTTATGGCAGAAAGTGAAGAACAACTAAAGAGCCTCTTGATGAAAGTGAAAGAGGAGAGTTGGCTTAAAGCTCAACAATCAGAAAACTAAGATCACTTCGTGGCAAATAGATGGGGAAACAGTGGACACAGTGGCAGACTATTTTGGGGGGCTCCAAAATCATTGTTCATGGTGACTACGGCCATGAAATTAAAAGACACTTACGCCTTGGAAGGAAAGCTATGACCAACCTAGACAGCATATTAAAAACCAGAGACATTACTTTGCCAACAAAGGTCCGTCTAGTCAAGGCTGTGGTTTTTCCAGTAGTCAGGTATGGATGTGAGAGTTGAACTATAAAGAAATCTGAGCACCAAAGAATTGATGCTTTTGAACTGTGGTGTTGGAGAAGACTCTTGGAGAGTCCCTTGGACTTCGAGGAGATCCAACCAGTCCATCCTAAAGGACATGAGTCCTGGTGTTCATTCAAAGGACTGATGTTGAAGCTGAAACTCCAATACTTTGGCCACCTGATGCTAAGAGCTGACTCATTTGAAAAGACCCTGATGCTGGGAAAGATTGAGGGCAGGTGGAGAAGGGGACAACAGAAGATGAGATGGTTGGATGGCATCACCAACTCAGTGGACATGAGTTTGTGTGGACTCTGGGAGTTGGTGATGGATAGGGAGGCCTCGCGTGCTGCAGTTCATGGTGTCGCAAAGAGTCGGACACGACTGAGCAACTAAACTGAACTGCACCGAAATGTCTGGTGTGGAATATTCTAGGCAAAGGAAAAGACAAGACAAAGGCTTTAGGACTGGCATGTACTTGATACATTGAAAGGTCAGGGTAGCTGATACCTAGTCGGAGATGGGGTTAGAGGAGGATGCTACAGTCAGATTACCAGAGCCCTTGAAGGCCAGAGTAAAAGTTTGACATATTTTTTTTTTTTCCTGAGGGCAACATAAAGACACTATGAAATATTTTCCACAATGCCTGGAATATACATTTAGTAAAAACTGGCTACAATTCTAAGTTGTAATAAATTCATACACCCTAACTCCATGCAGAGATTATCTTTTACACCCATAGTTTTCATATAAACTTGTCGTCCACTTTATAGTCAGCTTGGTTAGCAGCTAACATTTACTGACCTTTTAGAGTCA